ATTTGCTTACATAAAAAATTAGTCAATAATTTTTTTGGAATTTATTTATTTTAATATTATTAATTAATGATACTATATCACCTTGACATATAATATCACCATTACTAATAAATATTTTCTCTTGGCGTGATAACCCAAGAGCCATGCATACCGACACCTGTGGCCACATACTGCCGCATACTGGTATGGGTTTCTTAGTGTACACCTCAATAGACTCTAGCCGAAGTCCCACTCAAGTAGATCAAATCTGCGGCATAAATTGAACGGAATTTTACAACTTTTGGAAAAAACAATTTAGTATCTTACTTAAAAATGTTAATTTTTAAAGATAAAATTATAATTAATTGAGATAATTTATGATTAATCATAAATCTTGTAATTGATCATAAATATCCCATAATTAATTATAACTTTATTTTTAAAAGAGTTAACATGACATTTAAAATTTATAAAATTATGTTTAGAAATTATAATTTCTATGATCGATCCTAATACTTTTTAAAGGTGTAACTTTTATCTCATACATTTATAACTCGACCTTTTGAATTCGTCTAAATCAAGAGTAGTAATATATCGAATTTGTTTTTTTGACAAAAATACGATAATAAAACTAAATTATAATTTCATTTTAAGAGATGGTTTTAAGTTTAAATTACAATTCAATCAAATTAAAAATATTAAAAATCAATTGCACTGAAATCACTCAAAAAATCGATCTTAATAAATCATCATCAGGAACATAACGAACTATGCTTCAGGCTGATAATTATCTTCTGATGTAGAACTTCCAAAAAGCTTTTGGTGTTTGGATTTTATCCTCAGGCTTATTGCTACATGCCTGTATATGTCCAACGGTAGAATCGGATCACTTCAGCTGGTGGTCTAGTCTAAGTGTATAAATTTTCGATTATTCGAATATTTTAATTTTATTGATTGATTACTGTAAAAAATCAAGTAGGCCAACAAAAATAATTTTGGTATTCCGCAAAAATCAAGCATGAATATAGAATGCCCATAAAAATTTTGTCTTCCGCCCCGACCCGTATGTGTGTGTTAAATTTTTAACATTTTTGTATTGGTTAATTGATGCAGGTTATTTAATTGAATTGTCAAAATGATCTAAAAATTAATAATTAAAAAATATTGTATTCACTCAATTTTCTATCCGACTTCGTACCTGATTGTTTTAGACGAAATTCGGATAGAAATAATACACTTGATCAGGTAGGGTAAGTTAAGAAAAATCTTTTCTGCAAAGTATCCATTAGAAAAATAGAAATACAATAATTCCTATCTATAGGATAGGGGTGAACACTCTCTAGTCTAGTAATAAGTTATATCTGTTTAGGATTGTCCGTGATTTCTGTGTGATTAACAAGCAAGGATCGATTCACAAGAATAACACAGTTTGTTAATTGGTTTTAGTAGTGTTGTGATGAAGCCATTCCGAGTTAGTAATTATAATTCAAATTAGACATTCTATAGTGGGAGACTCTGATGATCACGTCAAAGGGGTTACAATCTTTTTTTTTTTTTTTTTTTTTTCAGTCGAAAGTCACTATCTACTGGTTGTCAATCTCTTTTTTCCTATTCACAAAAAAATTATAAAATCAAGAGGTTAACAATTGACCTGATAATCAGTGTCTCCACTATTAAACATTATGATCTTAAATTCGAACCTCGTTATTTCATTCAATTAAACCTTAAAAATCACGAATTTGAACTCCATCCACCCTGTACAATAGTGCCTGACCAACAACTACAGGGATTGGGCTCCCACGTCATAAACAAAAGTCCAAAAAGGTTGCACGATTGTGGTACACCGCGTGCCATGCGTCCTACGTGCACTTGAGGGCCCCACTGGCCCACGGTTCACACCCAAGGAAGGTTCATCAGTGATTGCCTTGTCGAACAAACTAGAGGATGAAGCCCATTTCTAGCTAGATCCAACCCAATGTACTGGACCACACACTCATCATCACCATCTCTACAATCTCAGCCTGTTCATTGCTTCATGCTTCCCACTAAAATTCGTTAATGGCTCAGATTTTGATATTTGTCACTAATTTAGTCAATAGATTGAGTTTTTTTTTTTTTAAATTTAAGTTGAAAATCAATTAGTTAAATATACAGTGATATCTTTTATTGATAATTTAAATTTGTTACATCATATTTCCTAGATTGAGATATCGAACAATTTGTGGTTTGATTAAGATCTTATCCGAATTATGTATGTGTATCCATATATGGAAAAACTTAAAAATTTCTAGAAAAATTGAATTAACAATTAGGTTTAATTGAAATCAGTTTTAATTAATTTATTCGGATCGTTTGAATTTCTGGACATTTTGATTTTTGATGGGGTTTGAATTAGTAGAGATAGAACGGGTCCCAGTTGCGGATTTATAGGTCTAAGTTATATGGATAACCCGAACATGAACCTGACATGAGTTTAAAAAAAAAAAAGAAAAAGAAAAAGAAAAAAAAGAAAGAAAGGGAGATAGAGTGAATGTTAGAAACAAAGTAACCAGAAGTTTGTACTGCCTACTATGTTAGACTGACTCAGAGAAGTTACCATGTCATATGGCAAATTGTCTTTGATTTGACCTTTCCACAAACAGGCTGATGGCACAATTTCAACCTAGCCCAGAGAACCCCATGTGAAGTGTTGTGTGGTACAAAAAAAATTAATGCACCAACCACAGCAACCTATTAAATGATATGTTCAATGGAGGGCAGCGCCACCTCAAGTGCCAAGTGGAGCAAATATTTGTCGCAACAGTTATATTTTATCATCGTGTTCACGAGATGTAATCATTTAATGATAGAATAACAAATGAGCCAATAAATCTCACATTAATAATTATTATATGACATGAATGGATATTTATTTAGCGATTTTCTCCCTTCCTAGATGGCTAAAATGTCCCTCAAATCCTCTTTTTCTCCTGTTTTTTTTTTTCAAAATAAAGACTCACCAATAAAAGATTCCCACAATGACGATTTGGAGGACAACCAAAATTGAGCCAGACTGTGCAAAGATGAATAGATTTTGGATGATGGGGTTCACATTGTGCAGCCACTCCCCTATCTATAAATTTAAGTTGATTCAAGATTAGCAGAAACATGCATTCGTATCACATTCTCTAACACGCGACTCTTTCTTATTGGTGCGCCCACGTGTTTGTACATTAGAGTATGATTGATTTCAACTTGATATCTCAATTCTTATACCATGTATGTCCAATTTATCGTTTCATTGTACGAATTAAAATAATAAGAAACTGGATAAATACATATGTCAGAACTATAAGCTAGGAGTACAGAAAAATGAAATAGGCATTAAGAAAACGACTCTTCTACACCGTGGTCCAGTCCAGCACCCTTTCTCAGTTTCTCTAACTTATATGTACGGACGAAGCAAACTGCACAGGAAGTTGCCGACACTGTGTCAACAGCCTCAAACATATATATATCCACTTGGACATAGCAACAGACAGCTCCATCAAAAACACCAAAAAAAATGCACATTCATGCGAAAAATTGATTTATCAAGTGGACCTGTCACCACCTCAATGAATCAACCGTACAACACTAATCACTATTTTTCATACCATTATTCAGGAAAGATTACTGTACTATTAAAATTTATAATTTTTTTAAGTGAAATTATAATTTTTTTCAAGTAAATATTATAACTACTATATATATATATATATATATGATAGATTCTAAAATATATCAAGCAAAACATTCTAAAATATATGATTTTTTTAGAATTTAAAAAACAAAATCACCTTTACTTTCTATCACCACTGCCACCCTTTCATCACAATCACCAACACCATTATTCTACCACCACCAGCATATTTTCACCATCTCTACATTTTTAATTTCATTGTTTTTTAAGTTATTATCCAAACAAAATTTTATTATTTTTTATTTTATAAAATTATTTTTAAAATCATTAAAATCAAATAGCTAAATAAAATCCAATACAAACTAAGACAAATCATAATTTTTAAAAGTCAACTTTAACACTTTTTAAGAGTGATAAAATCGAAAAGTTACGACTAAAGTATTCATGATCAATTGAAATATGTGCAGGATGATTTTCGCATAATGAATAAAAGGTAAACAAATCTCTCCCGTGGTGAGCTCTAATCATTGATGTGGCGGATCCCGCAGTAGAGAATGAGTTGAAAGGGCCAAATGACGGACCCTCAAAGATCCAATACCCATACTAGTTTGACGAGTTTGCTTCCTTGAATGAATGGAGAACCCTTTGTTGGCACTTTCGACATGATCCTTCGTTCTTGATAAAGATGAAGCTGATAAATCAAAATTCTTTTGTTGGAGACTCTTCCCCCTTTTTCGGAGTATTTACCATAGTCATTGTTCTTATAAAAATTTAATTATTTTTCACAGACGATGTCCAATTGTACGGAATAATTTTTGCACAATGGATAAATGGTGAACAGATTTTTCCTTTAACCCTCTCAACTCACTCTCAACTCATTCCCATGAGGGATCCGTCACATCTATGATCAAGATATTTGTTCACCTTTCATCCATTGTGCAAAAATTATCCCCCACAAAATGTTTATCATAAATTACATCAAATAATTATAATTTTTACTTTTAAAAAGTATCAATTCACCAAAAAAATAAAATTAATAATAACTTCCAGTGCGATACCATGGCATTGCCCCATTATAATGACCCAAATAATGCATATAATAAACAGCCCTGTGAATATCTATCGTAAGAAGACACCATTATAATTATAGCTCTTAATTTCATACGCAATAATAGAGAAATGTCGGTCACAGCCACAGGGCAACAAAAACGAAAGACTGATAAAAGCATAAACGAAGTCAATGCCGCTTTAGTTAAACAAAACCCTAATGATAATACCGATAAGTTCTGCCATTAGCGGAAATTTAAGAACACATTTCATGAACTTCCACATCTCCAGATTGAGAGAGAACTAAGCTTAATTAGTAACTCCACATGCGGTCAAGCTCAGTGGGTCCAACTTTCTGAGTCTCCGGAGCTGGCCAGCCACCATCAAAACTATACCCAGCCACCTCTGCCCCGCTGGGCATAGGCGGACCCATGGAGGACAAGAATGGCAGCTGAATGTTCTCCTGGAGCGACCTCAGGCTGGGAAATGGCGATACTCCAAAGTTCCTTGGACAGAGAGACGAAGAAGGTGATGGGTCAACCATCGGACCGAAGCTCGGGGGTGGCGGTGGAAAATCGAAGAAAGACTGAGGGATGAAGTTGGCCGCAACTGTGGTGGAGAAACAGGGCACGTGCTCCTTTGTGGCATTGCCGTCGTAGGAGCAGCTCTCACGGTCGGTGGCGACGGTGTAAGGGGAGGAGTCAAGCAGTGGTGGAAGAGACACTGATGAAGGAGAGCTGGGTTCTGGGTACAGGTTGATGCCGGAGGTAAGCCTCTTCTTGCCGCCGCTGGTCGCGGAGGTGGAGCCGCTTTTCTGGAACACACGGGATATGACCCATTCGTCCTAACATGCAATCAACACAAGTCGGAGTGAAGTGATTACAGACATGAATTTTGATGACAAGTGACTATCGTTTGGATCGATCTACGAAAAGTAATATTTAAAACATTATTTTGATGGATAATACTATTTAGACCTAACTTCTTCGCAACAGTCATTGCTTTGGTCATGAGTTACGACGAATCCTAAAAATCATTTCAATCAATTAAGTAAATAAATTAAAATTAAATTTAAATAGCATTGTTCTGGACGCAAAAAAAGTAATATATTGTTCTATGTAGACAGAAGTTAGGTATTTTCCAATAAAAAGAGATAGAAGTTACGAACAAAAATCACTTTCATTACATCAAAAATCTAAATAATAATAATACTAATAATAATAATAATGCTATTCATAACTAATTTATAGACCTCAGTGCAATGGTTAGATTGACAGAAGACCCATATTAAACATTAAAACTTCCTGCTAATTCTACGGCTAAGAAATCCAGTGTCTTTCAGACATAAGATCCAGTGTCTTTCAGACATTAGGTCCAATTTCTTTAAAAAAAATCCAGTGTCTTTCAGACATAAGAAGCAAGCAGAAGTTTCCACCATGAAAACCTCTGATCAGGGCAGTGAATTATTTAGATTTCTGCAAGGAACGTAACAATAAATTACCATAGTGTACGGAATGTCTCATAATAGATCATAAATTATCTGAAAATTTGCAGTCATACAGACTAAACACGAATGCAAACATTTAAGGGTACATTAGGTCTCAGAGGGTACCAACACGGGAAGCAACAGTATCTTCTTCCATTGTTAACAGTAACTAACATTATTAACGACCACAATGAGACTGAAACAAGCATCTTCCACATTGCAGTATCACAGGCATATAAAGACGAAGCCTTTACAGAAAAAGTGACGTAATGAATTAGCAATCGTGTGAGACTCGATCATATGTCAAAGTTTGTTCAATTCATTTTCGAATCCTTTCAATTGAACATAAGATGGTTTTGTTTTGTTTTTTACCCAGTTGTATCGTGTATGAACCATATTTAACACGATTGTGCACTTGTGTCAACCCATTCACTTGATCAACTTAAACCGGCCAAGCTAAATTCAAACTCACTAACTCGTTGTTAATTTAGAGTCGGGTTTCAAAATGTGTCTGCTACTGTTTGGCCCTATTCCTAATTAAAGCTACATATTTGTACCCCAGGACTCAATATTAAGCAAATTCAAGAATTACTAGTACCTTGGAGCTCCTGGAGAGATAATGGTAGGCAAATTTGCCTTCAAGACGGTACTCATGCATGACCCAGTTGCTCTTCTCTCCCTTTGGGGCTCTCCCCCTGTAGAACACTAGGGTTTTCTTCATACCCACAAGAGAGTAAGTCTTCGAACTGTAAATCTCCCTGTCCTTCCCAGTGGCTTTCCAGTATCCAGCTTCAGTTGCTCGATTAGTCCTCAGCCCAGTTGGGTACTTCCTATCACGCAGGCTGAAGAAGTACCATTCTTTCTCTCCCATCTTCGCTTTTTCTGTCATCAAATATTCACAAAGATTTTCAGGAAAAAAAAAACAAATATTTGCAAGTTATAATTATACGTATAAGTACGATTAGATTGTGATCATATGAGAGAGAGATTAAGTTAAAAACGTACCAGGAAGGTGCCAAGGTTCACACTTGTTGAGATCAACTTCAGTAATGGCTCTAGCAGTGAAGTTGCTATCAAGTACCTTCTTGAGGAGGTAGTAAGTGATGAGTTCTTCATCAGTTGGGTGAAACCTAAAGCCAGGAGGCAAGTGTGCTTCATTGTTGCCAAAATGGTTGTAAGTGTACTCCATTGAATCCAAGTAGCAGAAACAAGGTACAAAAATCTTCAAATAGAAAAGAAACCCCAGGTTAGAGAACGCAAAACCCTAGGGTTCTTAAGGAAGTTCAAGCGATGATCACAATGAGAAAAAGAAAATCTACTTGTGATATATATAACCCAGATGGCGAAAAGATCATAGGGTTTGGCGCAGAGAAGAGTGGAGTATTATAAGGGGGTGTTCATGGGGATTTGATGAATCGAGTGGCAGGAGGATAGGCCAAATAATAAGGTATGATATGGCTGGAAAAAACCTGTGTTTCTTGGCCTGTCCTCTTCTCTGATTTCTCTGCACTCTGCTGCGGCCCTTATCATATCGATCGCCTGGGAGGGAGAGAGAGAGAGAGAGAGAGAGAGGTGTATGATGTATGTGTCTGAGGGAGTGGGCTGTGGTACTGTTTTGAGTATGCGTGCGTGCCTGAGGAAGTGTGCAGGTATTCCCTTGTCAGTGAAGAAATGAAAGGGAAGGAGCAGAAAGTTGTTTTAAAGAGAGAAGTGCTTTTGAAGAGGGGAGAGAGAGAGAGAGAGAGAGGAAAAGAGGGGCATGGCATGGATTTACCTTGTTCCTGTCCATCCGATTGTTTAATCTTGTACTGTGCTGACAAACGAGATATGAATCAGCTTTATCGATATCCATGGTGAAATCTCTCTCTCTCTCTCTCTCCTGTTATTTGCTTCACTCATCATCACTTGTTTCATTTGTTCTCATTTTGCTGTCTTATATAGTCCAAAAACCACGCCAAAGCAAAAACCTGTCTCATTATTTAGTTAAAATCCACTAAATAATAAAATTACCAAATAAATATAATCATAATATCACTTCATAGTTAGCACACAATTGATTTTAATCAATAAATATTATTTGTCCGTCCTATTTCATTCAATGCTTATAAACTTTATTGGATATTATATGCGTAAAAATTTCACATAAATATAAATATTAAACCTTGATCAATGAATTTCCCATCTTTGGCTAACGATGTAGTATGTTAGTATTGGTACGACTCTAAAGAAAAGTGGTAAGATTTTGGTATTGAAGTTACAAGAAAATTTCTCGAAACCATTTTAGTTGGATTTTCTTTAAGGCTTTTAAGACATCGTGTTGAGGAGGACTTGGATGTAAGAGCATCTCCAATCGACTCAACAAATATCATCTTTTAACTATTTTGTTGAGCCAATTCAAAAAATTTGTCTCCAACCAACTCTATTCCTTTTTTTTTTGGTACAGAGAAAAAGTAAGAGGGGTTATTTAAACCCCCTAGCAAAAGAAATACAATAAAGGTCATTCAAAAGGTAATTTCTCAACACAAATACAATAAAGGTCATTCAAAAGGTAATTTCTCAACACAGGCGGTGGGATTTCAAAAATTACAAAGGAATCTTGTTGTTGCCTTCCCAGGCTTGCCATCTTGTCAGCGCAGAAGTTTCCTTCTCTTAGTGTATGAACGATGGGAGTATTAGTCAGTTCCTTTAAATTCTTGCAATTGACAATAATGTTCCTTTCGGGGTGGAGCTCCTCCAACCTAGTACTGATTAGGTTGAGGGCTTCCAATGAATCAGTCTCCAAGATGACATTTTTGATCTTCTGTGTATGTGTGATCTTAAGACCTTGAAAAATAGCCCACAATTCAGCTTGCAAGCTAGTAGAGTCTTTCATCTTGCCATAAAAGCCAAGTTGCCACCCTCCTTGATTATTTCTTAGTAGACCTCCTACCATGGCAGGGTAGGATTACCCTTAAAGCTTCCGTCCACATTCATCTTCATCCATCCTGCAGGAGGAAAAGACCATCCAATAAGATTAGGGTAGTTTGGACTCCCCTGGGTTTGGGGATCATTAAAAGCATCCCAAGATTCCCGAGCCATTCTCCAAGCTATCTTGGCAATGACTTAGGGGGATTATATGTGTTCAGCATTCTTGATTCCTGTTTTTTCAAATGTTCCATAACAGAGAGGCAAAAAGAATATGCCATTTAACTCCTCTCCAAAGAACATCCTTCCTTGTTTTATAATTTTCAATGAGCCAATTATAAAGGTCCAAGGATTGATGCTGTTGGAGATCATTTCTATTGAGGAAAGAATTCCAAACCAATACAGCTTTCGGGCAGTCCCTCAGGATATGTAGTGTATTCTCATTTAAAGCCTTGCATCTTTCGCAAGCAGGATTATCAGTAAGGTTTCTAGTCAACCTTGGGGAATTGGACAGAAGTTTGTCGCTTTGGACCAACCATAGAAAATGTTTAAGTTTCTGTGGGACCCCAAGTTTCCAAAACCACTTCCAATTTAGACCCCGTTGTTGACTAGGAGCAAGTTTAGTAATCCAATTATAAGCAGATTTGATAGAGAATTACTATTAATTGTAAGTCCCCAGGATAGTGAATCTTGGAGTGAGACTCCCAATGGGAATGACAGTTACAAAATATCAGAAATAACAGTTGAGGGAAGTAGCATACCTGTTTTCTGTGTATTCCAATTACTTGTAGGGCTTATGATCTCCTCCACAGTGCTACTGAGGTCAGTTGTAGTAGGAATCTGAACCATTCCTTGGAGTGGACTATCACATATCCACCAGTCTTTCCATAGCGAAACGTTTGAGCCATTTCCAATGAGCCATTTTGTGTTTTCCTTCACAATTTGGCTGGTTTTTGTCAGAGCTCTCCATGTTGGGGATGCATTAGATTTATGTGGGCAATCTCTTAAAGCAGGATTCATGTACTTGTCTTTAACCACTCTAACCCATAAGGCCTTACTCTCGGAATGCAGATTCCATCCTAGTTTAGAGAGGATGACTAAGTTATTATTCCTACATTTCCTCAATCCCAACCCCCCTAGCTCTTTAGGGGAGCAAACAATGTCCCAGTTAATCAAATGCACTTTTTTTTTCCCTCAGTATCTCCCCATAGGAAGTTCCTATTCAGTCTATCAATTTTCTCGCAGGTGGACTGTGGTAGCCAGGAGGTCTACATAATGTAGTTTGGGATAGTTGAAGTAATCGCTTGGATAAGGGTATTTTTCCCTACCAAGGAAAGGTTTTTACTCTTCCATCCACTCAATTTAGATTAGATTTTTTCAATTACTGAGGTATAGTGCTCCTTACTTGCTCTCTTGGGAATGATAGGGATACCTAGATACTTACCTAGGTCTTCAGTGCATGTTATCCCACTTCTTCTACTTAAATGCAGTGCCTAACTCCTACTAATATTAGGAGAAAAATAGGCTCTTGATTTAGTGGTGCTAACTTTTTGACCTGTGATAGAGCAGAAATCATCCAGTTCATTTCTAATCATGTCACAGTCTTTTTTAAAGGCCCTAGAGAAAAGAACAATATCATCGACAAAAAGAAGGTGGGTGATTACAGGGCCATTTCTAAAGGTCTTAATGCCTTTCCATAGACCATTTTCAATTTTACTTTGAATGATTTGCCCTAGTTTCTCCATATATAGGGTAAATAAATAGGGAGACAATGGGTCTCCCTGCCTGAGTCCTCTTTTAGGTTTGATTGGGTCCAGGGGGGATCCATTCCATAAGATAGACATGGAAGCACCCGTAACACAACTCATAATCAAATCAATCCAAGATTGGGGAAAATTAAAATCAATCAACGTTTGGTGAAGGAACGACTAGCTTACCCCATCATAAGCTTTTTCTAGGTCTATTTTAATGACCATCTCTCCATTTTCACATTTTCTTCTCTTAAGTGAATGAATGATTTCCTGGGTGACAATAACATTATCAATGGTCTGCCTCCCAGGAATGGAGCTACTCTAATAAGGTGAGATAAATTTATCCAGAATAGGCCTTAGTCTTGAGACAAACAGTTTAGACACAATTTTATAATTGACATTACACAGACTAATAGGTCTAAACTGCGAATGTAAGGAAGGGTTATCCACCTTAGGAATAAGGGTAATCCATGTGTTATTGATAACCTCAAGGCACTCTCTCCTGCTAAAAATATGATTGATTTGATGGCACACGGAGTTACCAATGACATCCCAGTATCTATGGTAGAAAATGGCTTGAAGCCCGTCAGGTCCAAGTGATTTAAGAGGTTTTATACTAAAAATAGCTTTTTTGATTTCAAAATCCATAACCTGGGCTTCAAGGATCTGTTTATAGAGGTCGCGAGAGCTGACCAAAAAACATGAGAAGTGGTAAGCCCAATGACTTGAGCATGAACATTATCAATGAGGAGGAAAGGATCCAACTGAGAAGAAGCTGGTCTTAACGCTACCAAGAAACAAAAGCTAGATTAATAGTGGTGGTGGAATTGGATTGAAGTTGTTTAGGTGGACAAGGAAACGAGACGTCAAGGTAACCGAGAACTAGGTGACCATGAAGATGCGACATGATTTAAGAAACCCAAAGAGGGCAATTGGTTTCATCTAGCTTTGTTTTTAGAGTGGCAATAGTGGCCAATGAAGTGGGAAAAGAGAGAGATTATGGGTTGGGGGAAGTCATTGGATTATTGGAGGTGGTGTTTTAAAAATCGGCCTGGTCCGGCAAGTTGACCCGGTGAATTGACAACTGAATCGGGCCGGTCTCCTTATTAGATCATTTAAGCTTAGAAACTAGACATGACTTGTTAAATCGGACGAGTTTTGAGGCCAACTCTCTGAACCGGATGGTTTTAACGAGTTGATCGAATTTATGAAGTACTATAAATACCTGGTTTTAGAGTTATTTGGGCATTTTTTGCCCTAATTTTTTTGCACCCCGCCGCCACCCCTATCTTCTGTTTGTCTTCTACGCCTCCTTTGCCTGCACATCTGTGTGTGTGTGTGTGTAGCTATCGAACTCGAAGCCTCTCTCTCTCTCTCTCTCTCTCTCAGTGTAAGTGTCGAATCGAAGCCTTCCACTGTCGAAGTCGAAGCCTCTCTCTCTCTCTCTCTCTCTCTCTCTCTCAGTGTAACTGTCAAACTTGAAACCAGCCACTGTCGAAGTCGAAGCCTATCTCTCGTTGTGTAACTATCGAAC